GTCCGATTTTATGTACGCCTGTCCTTTTTTCTAGGTGTCCCGTGTTTGTCAAATCCTCTGGTAGGTCTATATTAGTAAGGTAGGTAGGTATGAAATCAGACGAATGCTGGGAATAAAGCCAGTCTTACAGGTCATCAAAGAACAACAAATGGAGTGGTTTGGACACCTAACAAGAATGCCCTGGTACAATCCACCGCAGCAAGCCACACTAAAACGTTACAACGGGTATAGAGCGAGTGGAAGACCTGGGAAAATGTGGAGTGATGGCATTAAGAACAGCCTTGCAGAAATGAACATGATCCTTATAGTGCTCTTGAAAGAGCTCATCAACGAACATTACATCTCCCCCCGACACTTCGATGAGGTAAACGGTGGAAGAGAAGAAGAAGAAGAAGATAGGTATTAGTACCCCACAAGGATATTACACAAGCGATAAACACCCGGTGACACAAAGTGCCACCCTGCGGATGATGATCACCCATGGAAAGATTCCATAAACCCCTTTCAGCCGCTAGGCCACATCTATGTCCTGGCCATATTCAGGGCACCCGGCAGAAGCCAGGGTGGGGCTTCAAATAAGAAACTGCATCCCATACGAGGACGACTTTATTTTAAATATATTAGTTAGTTCACTGCAGACATTGACAATTCTCTGGTCTGTCTATATTAGTTCACTTCAGACATTGACAATCCTCTGGTCTGTCTATATTAGTGAGTTCACTGCAGACATTGACAATTCTCTGGTCTCTCTATATTAGTTCACTGCAGACATTGACAATTCTCTGGTCTCTCTATATTAGTTCACTGCAGACATTGACAATTCTCTGGTCTCTCTATATTAGTTCACTCCATACATTGACAATCTGATCAAGCTCAGTATTATTCACGTGCTCAAAAAATTCATTAACTATATCTGCTTTTCATGAATCATTTCACCACCATACCTGTCTCTCTTTTTCAGTATACCAATCTGCCGTTAAAAATGAGTGCCACGCGAATTATAAAGACTTGAGAGGAATTCAGGTATGTTGTGTTGTTATTTTTGTTGCTGTTGTTGTTATAGTTGTTTTTGCTTTTTTCAGACAATAATGTTATATTTTATCATCGAGAGAAATGATTATCAAAGATCATGGAAATGGTGGGTTTGATTTGGCAATGTCAAGCATTAGAACCAGAGAGGAAGTTCCTCCTTTTCATACCACAAAGTCTTGCCAGTTCTGAAGAGATTATCTTTTCCCCCATGCAGATGACCACTATTTTGGCATGCTTTGTCAACTCTAAGGAATTTTAACACTAATACGTGCGGAGTAAATCAGAAGTGAGAGATAAAAAGACCAGTTACCCATCTGTCAACCTAATGCAGCTTTCTCCCCATTCACCCGTTGCCCACCAAGGCTAATGGCCCAGTCCAGCGTTTCTCAAACTTTTTTCACCCCGGCACACTTGTCACACTTTTACCCATAAAGCGGTTTGAATACTTAGAAAAAGAAGAAAAACAAACAAGGCAAATCTATTGTTCAGTTGTCTTTAATGCGATAAATGAAACTGTTTGGATGAATTTTTCATTATTCTCTTTATGGGAAGTTTAGTTAACTGTACCCTCTAATCACTTGAAGGTTGCTCCTGTGTCTGTTTTTTTTTTTTTTTATGTGAGCGTACGCTGAGAATGCACTGCAGCCTTGCCTGTATCATTGTGTTTTTAATACACCTGCATCCAGAATTCATCTTCCCTTCCTTCTTGGTATTTCTGTTTTAAACTGCTGTCTTCGCTGATCTCATGCAGAATTTTGAAACTTTTTTTGATGATTACCGTGGCATCTTTGGTATAAGCTCGCGGCACCCAGTTTGAGAACCGCTGGTCTAGACTGCCTAGCCATAACACTGAGATTGTACGTTACATGTCCTCTTCCTTGGATAAAGCTAGTGTTCTTAAAATACCCTCTTCCACCCAAACCATTGGCACTATATGTGATGTCAGCTTGGTGGCCTAGCGCAATAATAACAGTAATTTTATTGTTATTATTGCGCACTTAAACCAGCACCTCAGGAGAAATACAAACATCAACTTGACTTTGGATAATAATTACGCCAGTAGCAATCATATCAACAGACGAGTGGTAGCTAATGAGTTAGGAAACCAGTTTCAAACTTAAACAGTCATAATGAAATGTTCGTGAATGAGAAAGGGATTACTTGATTTAGAATGGCTACTGAAAAAAAAAAAAAAGTAAATTTGTATTTAACGTATGTATCAGTCAACGTACGGTTTGTTGATTTGATTTACACAGTGTGAGTAAGCCACAACTGTATATTGAAATTGCTCCTAAAATGAGTAAGCCAGCACTTTATGGTTTACATTTTTGCAAAATGAGTACTGATTGTCATAAATGAGTACAGATTATCATAAATGAGTACTGGTTATTGTAAATGAGTACTGATTGTCATAAATGAATACCGGTTATCACAAATAAGTACTGATTATCATAAATGAGACTGGTTATCATAATAAGTACTGATTAACACACAGGAGTACTGGTTATTATATATGAGTACTTATTATCATAATTGACTACTGATTGTCATAAATGAGTACTGGCTTTAAAAATGAGTACTGATTATCATAAATGAATACTGATTATCGCACATAAGAGCATATTATTATAAATGAGTACTGATTATCATAAAAGAGTACTGATTATCATAAAAGAGTACTGATTATCATAAACGAGTACTGATTATCGCACAAAGTGCTTATTATCATAAATGAGTACTCAATATCATAAATGAGTACTGATTATCGTAAGTAAGTACTGATTATAACAAATGAGTACTGATTATCATGCTGAGTATTAGTTATCAGAAGTGACTACTGATTATCATAACTGTATGCCAAACCATATTTTAATAATGAGTTAGAAAGCAGAATTTAATAAAGTATCATCATCATCATCATGTAGCAGTTCCTTTGCAGAACGTCACTCTCATCCCTGGCAGCCTGAAAGAAACTCAGACCCTGGTCAGATCTCCCCTAGTGCACTTTCCTACTGAAGCTGTCAAATATCCTGGGCCAGTCTTCGCGCTTGTCTGCCCCCACCCATTTGCCTTGCTGTTTTTCATTCTAATCTTCCGTGGCGCATAATGTGGCCAACATATTTCGGTGTCCATGACAAGATGATGTTTATTAAGCAACATTGATGTTCAGTTTTCGGATGTTGATATTTATTTTATCCTCGGCCCTAAGCATTATGAAAATCTACAGCAGTCAAGTTCAAAATCCCATGTTTGCTTCCTTAGTGACTGCGAGGTAATGAACGACTCCCATCCTTATGTTGTTGCATGGAAAATTCATGACCCCAAAATTGAGACTTTGAAATCTTTGCTGGTGCTAAACTATTGACTTTCAATGCTGTTTAATCGGTTCGTCATCCATGCAAATATGTGGACTGGCACCTGAGACAACAGAAGGAGGAAGAAGGGAAGAAGAAGAAGAAGAAGAAAAAGAAGAAGGAGGAAGAAGAAGGAGAAGAAGAAGAAGAAGGAAGAAGAAGGAAGAAGGAGGAAGGAGAGAAGAAGAAGAAGGAGGAAGGAAGAAGGAAGGAGAAGGAAGAAGGAGGGAGAAGGAAGGAGGAGAGGAGGAAGAAGAGGGAGGAAGGAGGGAGAGGAGGAAGGAGGAGAGGAGAAGGAAGAGGAGGAGGAGGGAGAGGAGGAAGGAGGGAGAGGAGGAAGGAGGGGAGAGGAGGAAGGAGGGAGAGGAGGAAGGAGGGAGAGGAGGAAGGGAGGGAGAGGAGGAAGGAGGGAGAGGAGGAAGGAGGGAGAGGAGGAAGGAGGGAGAGGAGGAAGGAGGGAGAGGAGGAAGGAGGGAGAGGAGGAAGGAGGAGAGGAGGAAGGAGGGGAGAGGAGATCTCTTCGAGGTAAGGAGGGAGAGGAGGAAGGAGGGAGAGGAGGAAGGAGGGAGAGGAGGAAGGAGGGAGAGGAGGAAGGAGGGAGAGGAGGAAAAGGAGGAGAGGAGGAAGGAGGGAGAGGAGGAAGGAGGGAGAGGAGGAAGGAGGGAGAGAGGAGGAAGGAGGGAGAGGAGGAAGGAGGGAGAGGAGGAAGGAGGGAGAGGAGGAAGGAGGGAGAGGAGGAAGGAGGGAGAGGAGGAAGGAGGGAGAGGAGGAAGGAGGGAGAGGAGGAAGGAGGGAGAGGAGGAAGGAGGGAGAGGAGGAAGGAGGGAGAGGAGGAAGGAGGGAGAGGAGGAAGGAGGGAGAGGAGGAAGGAGGGAGAGGAGGAAGGAGGAGAGGAGGAAGGACTGAGAGCAGGAAGGACTGAGAGCAGGAAGGAGGGAGAGGAGGAAGGAGGGAGAGGAGGAAGGAGGGAGAGGAGGAAGGAGGGAGAGGAGGAGGAGGGAGAGGAGGGATGAAGGAGGGAGAGGAGGAAGGAGGGAGAGGAGGAAGGAGGAGAGGAGGAAGGAGGAGAGGAGGAAGGAGGGAGAGGAGGAAGGAGGGAGAGGAGGAAGAGGGAGAGGAGGAAGGAGGGAGGGAGGGAGGAAGGAGGAGGAGAGGAGGAAGGAGGAAGGAGGAAGGAGGGAGAGGAGGAAGGAGGGAGAGGAGGAAGGAGGGAGAGGAGGAAGGAGGGAGAGGAGGAAGGAGGGAGAGGAGGAAGGAGGGAGAGGAGGAAGGAGGGAGAGGAGGAAGGAGGGAGAGGAGGAAGGAGGGAGAGGAGGAAGAGGGAGAGGAGGAAGGAGGGAGAGGAGGAAGGAGGGAGAGAGGAGGAAGGAGGGAGAGGAGGAAGGAGGGAGAGGAGGAAGGAGGGAGAGGAGGAAGGAGGAGAGGAGGAAGGAGGAGAGGAGGAAGGAGGAGAGGAGGAAGGAGGAGAGGAGGAAGAAGGAGAGGAGGAAGAAGGAGAGGAGGAAGAAGGAGAGGAGGAAGAAGGAGAGGAGGAAGAAGGAGAGGAGGAAGAAGGAGAGGAGGAAGAAGGAAGGGAGAGGAGGAAGGAGGGAGAGGAGGAAGGAGGGAGAGGAGGAAGGAGGGAGAGGAGGAAGGAGGGAGAGGAGGAAGGAGGGAGAGGAGGAAGGAGGGAGAGGAGGAAGGAGGGAGCGGAGGAAGGAGGGAGAGGAGGAAGGAGGGAGAGAGGAAGGAGGGAGAGGAGGAAAGGAGGGAGAGGAGGAAGGAGGGAGAGGAGGAAGGAGGGAGAGGAGGAAGGAGGGAGAGGAGGAAGGAGGGAGAGGAGGAAGGAGGGAGAGGAGGAAGGAGGGAGGAGGAGGAAGAGAGGGAGAGGAGGAAGGAGGGAGAGGAGGAAGAGAGGGAGAGGAGGAAGGAGGGAGAGGAGGAAGGAGGAGAGGAGGAAGGAGGGAGAGGAGGAAGGAGGCGAGGAGAGGAGGGAGAGGGAGGGAGAGGAGGAAGGAGGGAGAGGAGGAAGGAGGGGAGAGGAGGAAGGAGGGAGAGGAGGAAGGAGGGAGAGGAGGAAGGAGGGAGAGGAGGAAGGAGGGAGAGGAGGAAGGAGGGAGAGGAGGAAGGAGGGAGAGGAGGAAGGAGGGAGAGGATGGAAGGAGGGAGAGGAGGAAGGAGGGGAGAGGAGGAAGGAGGGAGAGGAGGAAGGAGGGAGAGGAGGAAGGAGGGAGAGGAGGAAGGAGGGAGAGGAGGAAGGAGGGAGAGGAGGAAGGAGGGAGAGGAGGAAGGAGGGAGAGGAGGAAGGAGGGAGAGGAGGAAGGAGGGAGAGGAGGAAGGAGGGAGAGGAGGAGGAGGGAGAGGAGGAAGGAGGGAGAGGAGGAGGAAGGAGAGGAGGAGGAAGGAGAGGAGGAGGAAGGAGAGGAGGAAGAGGAAGACGAATGCTGTTCATATATTAACGTCTACTCGTTCAAAACGGGCTTGCTAGAATTGTTTGTTCATATATGTTCGTACTGATATTGACTACATCGAACATAGAGGCGGTCTATAAAAATGGGAGTCTTGCTTGATGCATCCGATGTGCCTCCGGTCTGTAAATGGGTATTTACTTTTGCCTTCACATGTTCGTGCACAAAGAATTAGCCGGGACCGGAATTGATTGTACTTGCGTTCGTAAAACATGTGAATTGTAAGAATGTCTTGTTTAATTTTCCAGAAGGTGAGCCGCGTGGTTTCGAGGCATGGTGTCCACCTCGAGTGCTAGAGGTTCTGGGTTCAATTCCCGGTAAGGGCTGAGATTTTGTTCACGTGGACTTGGACTTCTAGTAATTGTCCCCTGTCTCTGGGTAGTGATATCGCATGCCCGTGTGCATTGTTCCGCGCGTAAAAAAAATCACTAAGCAGTTGGAAATCGAAAAGCCTAAAAGCGCTGCCCGGACAAAATTTTGAGTTAAAAATCTACCTAAGGTATTTCAGGATCCTCGCCGGTGCTACAGAGCCTATGCACTGTGCTAAGCTTCCTCGGACTCATACTTGAGTTAGAAGAGGATCGAAGCACTTATGGGTGTGCCATCATGTTCATCAGTTGTTCTAACCTTTTTCAAAATATGTTAGCCGTAAATATTTTGCTGAAGACTGTAAAAAAAAAAATTAAATACTGCAGTTGAGTACTGAGAAAAGCAACTAACTGAACAAAAAAATAAACAAAAAAAAACAAAAATTTCTGAAAAAGCTTGGTAACATAAAAAGAAGTGAATGTTAGCGTCTGATTGTAATGTACAGAGTAGTTAAAATCTAGCTAAAGTTATATACAACATTTCATTGACACAAAATAAGTTCATAACTCTCTACAAAGCTTTCATTTTAAAAAACATACTCGGGAAAACTGACATTTTCTTCCTTTACTTCTGCTATCATTGGGGACTAGTTAGTGGGAAGACTATAAGGTGAAAACGCAATGAGTTGTAATTTCACGGGAAACTATATTGTGAAATTAATTGAACCACACTGCTCTGATACTGGTGCCTGGACAAATAAATAGGTCCGGAGGAGAAGGCACATTGTCCCATAGCCGGGAACTAGTAATTAATACAATTTGTGACATGCAGTCCCCTCATTAGTCGGCTCTGTGGCTAAGTAGATGCGAACGCTTCGTAAAGCCGGGATGCCGGGTTCGATCCCAGCTGCGGGCCATAGGCCTTGCGTTGGTTTCGACAGTGGTATCAAGAAAGCTGAGAGCAATGGCAAACTACTGGACGTAAATTTGCCTAGAAAACCACACAACAGCCAGGGGCTGTTATATTGGTTCTGCAACGTCCTGTAAAGGATACGCAACTAACCTAAAGTCCCCTCATTGGAGACGATTAAGATGAAATAGACATAGCCAGCCTGTTCTATCACCTGAGACTAGCAGATCAAATAATGTGACACACTGTCCTGTCACTGGGGACTAGCAGTTACAATAATGTGGGACACACCGTCCTGCCAATAGGGACTTCTTCTGCTTCTTCTTTCTTCTTCTTCTTCTTCTTCTTCTTCTTCTTCTTCTTCTTCTTCTTCTTCTTCTTCTTCTTCTTCTTCTTCTTCTTCTTCTTCTTCTTCTTCTTCTTCTTCTTCTTCTTCTTCTTCTTTTTCTTCTTTTTCTTCTTCTTCTTCTTCTTCTTCTTCTTCTTCTTCTTCTTCTTCTTCTTCTTCTTCTTCTTCTTCTTCTTCTTCTTCTTCTTCTTCTTCTTCTTCTTCTTCTTCTTCTTCTTCTTCTTCTTCTTCTTCTTCTTCTTCTTCTTCTTCTTCTTCTTCTTCTTCTTCTTCTTCTTCTTCTTCTTCTTCTTCTTCTTCTTCTTCTTCTACTTCTTCTTTTCTTCTTCTTCTTCTCTTCCTCTTTGTACCTCAGCGAAGTGTCGGGAGGGGGGGGGGGGGCTGTGACAATCGTTGATGAGCTCTGTCAAAAGCACTGTTAAGACATGTTCGTTTCTGTAAGGCTGCTCTTAATGTCATCATATTTTCCGAGGTCTTCCACTCGCTTTAAACCCGTTGTAACGTTTTAGTGTGGCTCGCTGTGGCAAATTGTACCAGGGCATTCTTGGGGATATTAAATGGGGACTACAAGATGAAATAGTCTCGGACACACTTTCATGTCACAGGGGACAGAATGATAAAATAGTCTAAGATACACTGTCGAGTCATTGAAGACTTGTGGATGAAATAGAGTGAGATATGCTGTCCTGTCACTGGGGACTAGTAGATGAAATACTTTGGGACACACTCCCTGTCGCTGGGGACTATTGAATGAAATAGTCTAGGACACATTGCCCTGTCATGGGAGAATAGTAGAGGAAATAGTCTGGGACACACTGTCTGTCTGTGGATACTAGTAGATGAAATAATTTGAGACACACTGTCTTGTCACTGCGGACTAGTAGAGGAAATAGTTTAGGACACATCCTCTGTCACTTGGGTCTAGTGCATGAAATAGTCTGAGACACTTTGTCCTATTACGGGATTCTAGTAGAGAAAATAGTCTGGGATACATTGTCCTCTCAGTGGAAACAGTATATGAAATAGTTTGGGACACACTGTCTTTTCTCTGGGGACTAGTGGATGAAATAGTTTGGGACACACTGTCCTTTCTCTGGAGACTAGTAGATGAAATAGTTTGGGACACACTGTCCTGTCACTGAGGATCAGTAGATAAAATAGTTTGGATCACACCTTCTTATCTCTGGGGACTAGTAGATGAAATAGTTTGGGACACACTGCCCGGCAACTGAGGACTAGTAGAAGAAATTCTTTACACTAACACTGGAGAATCGTTATTCAGATAGTTCAGGCAACGGTGTCCTGTCACTATGAACTGGGAAGTTTAACAGTTTGGGATACACTGTTTTCTCGCTGCGGACTCGGAAATGAAACTGGTTGGGACAGACTGCCCTGTCACATAGACATGAAACAGTTTGAGACACATTATTCAGCCTCGGGGATCTAGTATGTGAAATATATTAGACACCCTCTGTCTTGTCACTACGGACACACAATAATTTAAGTGGAGACTAGTAGGTGAAATTGGGACACACTGTCCTATCACTGAAGACTAGTAGATGAATTAGTTTGGGACAAATTGTCCTGTCACTGGGGACTGGTGGGTAAAATAGTTTAGACAAACTGTCCTATCCCTGAAGACTAGTAGGTAAAATAGTTTGGGACAAACTGTCCTGACACTGGGGACTAGTAGGTAAAATAGTTTAGACATACTCTCCTGCCACTGGGGACTAGTAGGTAAAATAGTTTGGGACAAACTGTCCTGTCACTGGGGACTAGTAGGTAAAATAGTTTGGGACAAACTGTCCTGTCACTGGGGACTAGTAGGTAAAATAGTTTGGGACAAACTGTCCTGACACTGGGGACCAGTAGGTAAAATAGTTTTGACAAACTGTCCTGTCACTGGGGACTGTAGGTAAAATAGTTTGGGACAAACAGTTCTGTCACTGAAGACTAGTAGAGGAAATGGTCTAGGACATACTGTCCTGTCACTGGGGAGTAGTAGATGAAATAATTAGGGTCACATCGCCCCTGTCGCAGGAAACTAAACTGTACTCAGATCCTTCTTGTGTTTATCAGTCCTCTTTTCACACACCTACTCTCCCCTCTCATTTAAAGTCCTCGGGGTTAGCCGCATGGCTGGTGAGTGTGAGACTTCCCACCTCCTCTTCCCGTTTCCATTTCCAATCTTCCTTGCTCTTTTCGTCCCCGTCGAACCTCGAGCGCCAGAACAAGGGACTTGCCCCACTCTTCTTCCGGTCTGAAGAGCTAGCTCCACGGACAGCAGACGATGAACGCGCTTCAAGTCGGAACCCCCGACCTCAGCTCACCCTCCTCTCTTAATAAATTCTACAATGTTCCAAAACCGCCCTCCCTTCCAAAGAGCTATCTCCCGTTCTGTGTCGGCACTGAAGAATGTTTAACGTTGGACAATTTGACAGTAGTTAGGTCCTGAAGATTTGCTCGGAAAAGTCGCCTTTGCAGCTGATTTCGCGAGTGGTTGTAAAGTTTCATTTTGCTTTTTTTTTTCATTTTGCTCGACTAGTTTGACTGGATATAAGCAACGCTTGCATAACCACTATAACATCCGATGGGAGATTTAGATCGACATTTGTGAGCCATTACTGGCGATTTCATTTTCTGGCTAAACGTGACTTATGATCATGAATTGGATTACGTTATAGATAGCAGAGAGTAGGCTTTTTAACAAGTAAGTTAAATGTTATTTATGTAATGATATATTTTTGGGGGGAAAACATTTCTGTGTGTATGTTTACACGTGTTAAAATATACGTATTCATGTCGAGGTCTCCGTAGTGAAGTGGTCAATTCGTTTCTCTAACACTCTGAAGGTCACAAGTGCGTTTCATGGCTGTGACGTTCGGGAATATGACGGCAGTTTAAACTAGGACCACTGGAGATCGTCGTCAGAGCTACGGTGTACGTGCTTTGTGAGACGTTTTTGGCAGGTGGTTCATTGTTCTGCGGAGAGAAATCAAGCCATATAACACCCTGTGCAGTGAAGTCGAACCTCACGCAGTTACCCTTTTAACCCTTGACCTTATGCATGCATGTGTGTATATGTGTGCATACATTTAAATAATTAATTGTATCATGCGTGTGTTTTTGTGAGTGTATTTATGTGTGAATGAATGTGTTAGTATTTGTTTATGTGTGTATGCGTGCGTGCATAAATGTATTTGTGTGTGTGTGTGTATATATATATATATATATATATATGTGTGTGTGTGTGTGTGTGTGTGAGTGTGTGTGCATATCAGTTGTCTCATATGTAAGCATGCTAGCAATTTCAGGGTTCTCGCATGTGTTAGAAGTTCCACAGTTGTCACAGACGCTCAACTTTGAACACCCTGGCATGAATGGAGCAGTCCCCAGATGCTGGCCTGTACACACCCCGACATGA